GGCCGATTTATGGAGCTGTGTAAACGGATACTTGTAAAATGTACTCCTATGCTGTAAAAACGGCCGGTAATTGATGGGCTTGTCACTTCAGTTTCACACCAACCTCTTCCTTTTCCCAGATTTGTTTTTGGAAATAATGACCTGTATTTCGAATAAATTTACTGGACTGTCCAGTTTTAGGTTACATGTTTGTATGCTACTAGGTATTTAGAAGCATCACAAGAGCCTATGAGGTTACACATGAAATTTATAGTGTCAATATCTGATTGAGACAACCTTTAGTCTATGGTACAATGCAGAACTACATGTATGTAGGCTGTTTTTCTTCCCCTTATTTTTTAGACAAATAGGCCTAATGTTTTTCTTTGTTTTTTTTTCATGTGAAAGAATTTGTCATTGTGAAAACTCTTCAGTATTTCATTCATGTACAGAAGCAAAGGAATTTAGCCTCATTCTGGAACAATGTTAATTGTTCCTGCCTTTCATAGTATAAACTCAATGGAGAGCTCAACACTTTCATGATCTTGTTCAATTTGATAATAATAAATTATTATTACCCCTGATCATTGGTCCAATTAAACATTCCAAATACCATATCAGCTCCCCGGGGAGTATACATCTCGATGCTGCCTGTTTATAGGCAGCAGGAAGCTAATTCAATCACAATAACCATCTCTGCCCTCACAGTTACCCATTTACTCCTGGGTGGGGAGAAGCAATGAGTGACAAAGTGCCTTGCCCAAGGGCACAAGCACCACAACCCCAGGCTGGACTCGAACCCACAACCCACAGAATTACCTGCAGACCACGAATTCAATGCCCCAGACCACAAGGCCACAGCACTTAAGGAGGCCACAGCACGTCTCCATGATTCTTCAATTCCTTTAGTATTGAATATTGAATTTCATTGAGAGCAGAACTTCATACCTCAAGTTTTTTAGTAGGATGGTAGGGGTCTACTTTTATTTGAGAGGTAGGGGCAATTCAGAAGTCTCTCTTTTTTATTTTAGCTCTAAAGAGGTGTTCAATAATGTTGGCCATTACTTTTCTTTCTCGTTTCCCCTAGGTCATTTCTCAGCCGTTACCCTCATCAATGTACACAGTGGCTCTGAAAATACTTTTAGAAAAGAAAATATGGTTTGCGTACCAAACACAAATGCTTTTAGCTTGAGTTTGTCTTCCAGTGGCGTGAGACGAGAGCCACTATTTTTGGTTGCTTTTGAAGAAGTACATATAGGCTTATCTGTTGCTTTCTACATGTGCAGGTCGACATACCAAGTTGAACTCTAAAATCCTCTTTTTAAAATGGCGGATTTTGCAGGATTGAGGATACATGTATATGGCAAAAATGTGTGGCTGATTTTGGAGGATGGACCGTGTCAAGGTCAAGGTCAAGGTCTTAGGCTGGACCTTGTGTTGTTTATGCTCAGCGGACAGCCGTGCATAAAATTTGGGCCGACATTTCACTTGAAATCCTCCGCACTGCAGCTCCAGGATGTCACTGGCTCTGCCTTAACAAATTGACAGTGATTGCTGGAGGATTTTGTAGGATTGAGGCAGTGGTCACTCCTCCAAGGACCTCATTAAAAGAAATGACAGATGGTTTGGGAGGATTGAGGCTATATGCCACGTTTACATGGAGGCAGTTGGAGGATTTTGCAGGATTGAGGTTGCATCCTAGCAAAAATGCCTCTAGAGGGAGTTATGAACGCACATTATTTCCAGGGATTGAGGCCAGACAAAGCAGAGGCAACTACTGTAAAGTATACAAACACTCAACAGAGCGATCGGATGACATTTAATATAGGACTCGACAGACTGTGAAGAGGCAACGATCCTATTACACACACTACCAGGGTTTTGGGTTTCATCAAAGTTAATTGCACCATCCAGAGCGTGGATCTACAACAAACTTTAATATCACTCAAACATTCCTAAGTTACAGAACACAGGTCATAAGAAGGATCCTTTTCCTATCAGTATCTACATTCTGCAGGATTGCTAGGCCCTACTCCACGTACCCCTCTCACCCCCAGCCCCATTAAAATGTGGCTCAAATACTGGACTTAGATCCTTGATATTGGGGTACAGAAACTAATAGCTTAACAGAAGTGAATCTGGTACTTCTAGACGTCTAATTTAACATCTTAGGGGGATTAAGAGAGTCTGTCCAAACTGACTCACTGCATTATTTATGTTTGCGAGGTCATGGATCATCATCTTTGACCTTTTGATTTTTCCCTGGTTAATAATCTGGTTTACTAGAGTAGGCCTAATTAACTTCCATAGTGAATATCAAACATTTTAAACAAAAACAATGTCGATTTGCAAATTCAAGAAACCCAACTTTTCAGGATATTTATCTAGGCTATGTGCGTTAGCATGTCTTGGTTTTTGGCACACAATGTACCAATTCCATACTCCTAGAACTATGAGGCTCCACGTAGTGGAGCCTCATAGATGAAGAACCCCGCAAAATTGTTTTCAGCACAAGACATGATGTACCAGATTCACTTCTGTTAAGCTATTAGTTTCTGTACCCCAATATCAAGGATCTAAGTCCAGTATTTGAGCCACATGATGGTGCAACAAGACACTAATTAAGTACAAAAACGTCCATCGAAATGCAGACATTTCCCACAGAACCGCTGCACAGTTTGCCCCAAACTCCGTACTACACCTCATGACATACTCACGTAATATGCGCAGAACAAACATCGCTGGATTTTGTCATTTTTTGGGCTAAAATGATGAAAATATGCCCTTTCCGCACTGAGCCAACCTGACACTTGAAACGTGCACACAGATATGATCGAACGATGATTTTCGGTTCGCTCGGAGCGTGCCGCGGGGGGTATGGTACTTGCACTTGTATGCATCATTTCGCTTGTACCGTACCCAAGTTTAAACTTGCGCAAAGGCGATCGCAACCTTCTTTTGCAGGCGGGATTTTCATTGATGAAGAATTTTTTTTTTCAAAACACGAGTAGGCCTACATGGAGAAACAATGGAATAAATGAATGAACAAAGAAATAAATAAAAAGGGAAATTCAAATAGCGTCTATGAAAAGAAACATTGAGATTTAGCAGTGCAGTGCTTAGGCCAAAAAAATTAAGTCTCCGGTTTCTGGTATGGAGCTTGCCCAAAAAGTGGTGCGGCGACGCAGCTTTTTTTTTTTTTGACCTGTTTTTTTTTTTTTTTTGCTTCAAATGTCAGCTGATGACTGCAAATGGTGCCCGACTAAACTTCGTGCAAATATAATGGGAGTCCAGAGAGGCCGCATAAAGCTTATTCTCGATCATTACCCATCTAAAAACATGTTTTTCATTAAAAAAAAAAAAGTTTCATTTTGCCGACGCGCATGGCTTCGGCGATGCACGCGCATACCAGAAACCGGAGACTTTTTTTTTGGCCTTATCAATATCAGAGAAGTTGTTTAAGGGTACGTGGGGGCGGGGCTGGGGAGGGGACCGGGCAAGCAATCAACTTAAAGGGAATGTACATCATTGGCTTTTGCTGTAATTTTCAGAAATGAACTATTTGAGGGGTTAGTATTAATACATTAAATATTGTTTAACTGACATGTTTGAAGTTTTGTGTTCGCAAATGCTGGAAAAACCAAGAAAAACAAAAATGTTTAGGAAGTCTGGTTCCCTGACTCCACTAAAGATAAAATAGATCAATTTATAGATGCCTGAAAATTGTAAGATAAGGGAACCAGTTTAGCTGGCCAGCACCGGTTCATGAACATGTAACCAATAGCAAACAAATTTGGACTGAAAAAATAGTAAATTTAGAGCAGAAGTTGAAAAATAGTTAGGTTTTTCCAACGGTGGTCAGCCGACCACCGTTGGAAATGTATACAAAAATACCATTTTCTTGAAAATGACTTCACACAAGGCGCCATAACTTTACAGGATGCTTAAGACTGTCATTTACCAACATCCAAGTAAGGTATTTCGTTAAAGCTTGGTAGTTCTATTTTTCGATGTTTGCAAATGTTGTATTCCCTTTAAGCACACTAGCGGCGATTGCTTGGAAAGTGTACTGAACTTGTTCAACAATGGAGACCAGCTTTAAGTTTTTTGCTTTGTAAACCTTATTTATTTATATTCTTGAATGTAAATAAATCATAATTTCCTAGGTGTAACCCGCTGTTAACATAAAATGAATGATTATGATCCCTTCAATTGTTCAAGTTTTGACGTTATAGTAATCATTTACATTATTTTTAAAATGCTTTAAATTACATCAAATGTATTTTACAATTAAAAAAGTACTTAATCTTTAAAAAATACTAAGTAATTTAACAATTAATAAATTGGACGGTGCAATAATTTGTTTTTAGATATACTTGCATAACATTTCGAGCGCTGTGTACACTTCAAAAATGCATAATTTGAAACCAAAATTAATGAACGCATTACTAATTTAATTAATTAATTAAATTTATTACTTTAACAATTATGTTATTGCAGGCTCAATAATTCATATTAATGTTTACAACTTAAAAACGCTATGCATATAAAACAGCAATTATTTAAAAAACTTAATGAATTTGCAAATGATTTAATTAATTAATTTATTTAATTAATTAATTCGACTTAATGAATAAATATGTTGTTCATTAAACAAACATTTTAATGAGCCATAAACAATAATACACATATGCAAAGTGCATAAATTGTTCGCATTACCACTCCGTATCTCTCCTATTTCCACACAGTCAACATCATTAGCATATTAATGAAATGTTTTTAAAAAAGGCATCGTCTCCCGAAGCTCAGCGATACTATTAAATCGGAGAAAAAAATCTGCTTTAAAAATAATGTTACATATCTGCATGAGTATACCCGGGAAAAAAAATAGTTTAGCGGCTTTGTATGCGTGGCCGGGAAAATCTATGCAGTGCGCAAGTTTAAACTTGCGCGCGCAATTTGTAGCAAGGTCAAGGAAATTAATGCGCGCGCAAGTTTAAACTTGCGTGCACGCAGGTTTAAACTTGCGCGGGGGACTCAAATTGCGCTCGACAGTACTACTGTTTACTCAGCATACTCAATACTCACGTTACTTTACGCAGTGCAAATCGCCGTTGTTGAAGTTGCTAGTACTTCAGTAGAATAATGATCTCTCACATCCTCTGACGCCAGATCCTTTGCCCGATCAGCAGAATTTCGGCTTCATATAATTATGCCATAATCAAGGCATCGTTATAATGATATCAGTAATATCCAGCAAAACAGAACTTACGTTCAACTCAAGTTCCAACTTCCATTCCAGTACATCGTGACCATGTGTATCCAGCTGATATTGCCAAAACCGCGCGCTCACGCTGTGGTGGAGGTTACGATCAAATGAGGGCGCTATTAACACTTTATGGACACATGGATTGAGATTTCATCTGCAGTACGCACCGCCCCTTATTAACTTTGTTCTTTTAAGTTTGCGCACTAGAATTCAAGAAAGACTTTGGAGGCTACGGAAGAGGCAGATTTAAATAGCGTTTTCGTCTATTTCACATAATGTTGGGCATATAATGAGATTGCAATAATATTTTTTGTGCCTACCGACCTACCAAAGTCAACATTCGAAGAAATGAAAGGAGTTCTAGCGTCCCAGTTGTCCAGGGCCAGGGGTGGTACTCTGTCGATTTAAAGGATTTCAGGCCTAATATCTTTTCTAAAAAAAAAAAAGGGCCCAACAGTTTCATGGCATTTTACAATATGCCGTAAGAAAAGAACCTACGCAAATAACAATAATACGTTATTACGAAAAAGATATCTTAACGCTAAAAATACTCCTGTTGACTTTAAAATATACAGTACTACTAAACATAAAATCTCTGTAATTCATTGCCTATACTGAGAACGATAATTTTAAATAGAGGAAAGATTTTTAACTTTTCCGGTCAACCGATCGATCCGAAAACAACTTGAGTAGAAAATATTCAAGTCGACACCGCGGCCGTCTGCACGTGAACGGCACCACTCTGATCTGTGCCGAGAATTCGACCGTCCCTGGTCCCTGATCTGCGGAGACGGGATAGGCGTGACGGCGGCACAAGCAGCCCAGGAGGAACCCTACCGCCACGGCTATCAGGAACGTCAAGGGAATGATCCAGGCCAGGTGATAGGTGTCCAGTTTTTGCTGCTCGTCTGCCCGGGGAAACTCAAGCGGGGGATCAGGAGTGACCGTGGCTGGGTCAGTTGGCGTGGCTGGGTCAGTTGGCGTGGCTCGGTCGGTAGCTGGTGGGAAGACACCACACTTGGGGAAGCCCGCGGGAATGTGCTGGAAGTCCGCAGAGTTGCCCATCCAGAACAAGAGTGCCATACCATCCTGAATAAAGAAAACAATTAGGGGCCAAGTATACAAATTACTGGAACGGGATTGAACCTGCGACCTCCATAACACAGTTCCTGCGGGTACTCTACCAACTGAGCTATCCAGGAATCTATCATGGGCGTCGCCAGGATTGTTTCCGGGGGGGGGGGGGGTGGGGGCAAAGCACATTTTCCCCCGAAATTTCTTAACTTTTTCGACATTTTCTCAATTTATCATTTTCCGAGCGTGGGCAGGGGAACATTTGCTCTACCCCCCCCCCCCCCATCAAATTCGCAGCAATATGGATTCGCACCTCTTTTTCATTTTTATTTTTATTTTTTTGGTTCTTTTTTCTCCCTCCCCCTCCCCCTCGCGACGACCATAGCCACTATGTTGGCGATCTCTGAATGAGCCACCATGCACCCACGTAGGCCCTATGCCATGTAGCCAGGAAACACGCAAAAAGTCACGATGCAATGGTTAGTCCTACGTATATGGCTTTGTATTACAAAGTGTTTGGTGTTTTAATTACCTCGAGATGGAACTCGATGTGACAATGGAAGATCCACCATCCCGGGTTCCAGGCCCGGAACCTGAAGATGGTATAGCCCCCGTCGGGTACCACCACGACGTCTTTGAACGGTCCATTCAGATTACGGTTAATTTCACCTGCAGTAAGAACATAAGGGAAAAGAAGTAAATGCTTTTTACTGCACTTTAGTTAGCTACTCAATTTGATAATACAGGGCGAGTACAAAATAAAAACAAAGAAATATATTCTTTTAAAAAAATATGTAGCACCAAAAAAAAAAAATTATGACTGGTAAGCCAATTTAATAAACAACTTTTAGATGAAAAAATACACTTCAATTGTTCTATCCGTTCAAATTACATCACCATTTAAACGAAATGACCCTCAAATATGTTTCGTCCAAAAATGCGATTTCAAGAATTGTCGATACAATTGTCTTCAAACGTCACCAGCGATATAACCTCAGTTTAAAAGTTAAAAACATTCAACAAAGTCCTTTTGAATGCCCATTTTTAAAAAGGGATTTTATACGTCCTATTGTTAGCTTAATAAAGATATTGTTCTACGTTGTTGAAACAAGTAATCTGTGTCATTTTCTTTGTTGTTCCAAACAGTCAGAACACACAATAAATTGCTTTTTTGGACGAAACTGATTTTAGGGTTACTTCGTTTAAATAGTGATCATATTTTAACGTGTATGAGAGATCAATTGAAATAATTTTCTCACTGAAAAGTAGTTTAATAAATGGGCTTCAAAACCATAATTAATTTGAATGCTACTTAGTTTTGTTATATGAAATATATTTCTTTGTTTTGGGGTTCCACTATTTTTTTGACTCGCCCTGTAGATTATTGGACCAAGATGGCAATTAAGGTAGTTTTGGCTGCCACATGGATTTTGATACGTTCCACTAATACTAGCAGTCCATTGGGACAGCATCCAACCTGCAGCGGTGGTAAAGGGAACATGAGACAGGATATAGCGAAATGCATGCTGGGAATTTATCGGGTCCAGGTGCCAAAGTTCCCAAGACTTAATTGATTCATCTTGTTGATAGCGCCCCGTACCGCCGCGGCTTACCATAAACCAGCTTGACGTCATCATATGACCAGGGAACATCATCTAAATTCAGTCTTATACCAATAACTAAAACCGTTTCCTGCCCCTTGATATCCTTAGAGGAGAAAATAAAATCACTGCGATTCACGCGGGGTTCGAACCACGGCATCTCGCCGTCGATTTGGGTCATTATACGAGCCTTATTCTACGTACCGTTCTGATCGAGCTGCATGACAGATTGCACAGTTGCGCCTGACATAAGTTCCATAGCCACTACTTGAAACTGAAGACCATGAAGGTGCATCGGATGCAGGACATGATAGGACGAATCCGGATTCACCAGAACGATCTCCACTAACTGTGAGGAAGCAAAAGTCAAATCATGACTTTAATTTCAGGTTCGGTAGCTATTTCCCCTTTTTTATTAAGCTGCTTTGATCACAAGACAATAATTTCTGAGGCTTATAAGAAACAGATTTTCTGATGAGTATAACGGAAAACATGGTGTCCTTCGTACGAAGTTACGTATGAAGAAAAATTAGTCACGAAAAAGTAAATACAAATCACTTTTCCACTCCTTGGATGAAATTAGATTTTTAGTATGTCAAATAGTGATACTTCCTTCGCGTGACAGTGTTAAAATAAATTCTATTGCAACTTAGTTTTAGGTCTGGGCCCTGTTTTGTTATAACTGACCGGACTATATCGAGCCCTTACCGCGTTAAGTTCAACTTGAATGGTGTGCACGCATGCGCACTGCGTCAGCCCCTCGCACTCGCCCGTCTGGAAGCTGCTGGCGTTGCAGAACAAGCTCATCGGAAGGTCGTCAAATTGAGACATGATGGGTGAGGTAGGGAAGAAGTAGGAGATGTTGTTGAGCTGGGGGAAGGAGTGGGTTCCCTGGTTGGGTATGGGGCTCTCCCTGGTGCCAAAACTTGTCTCGATGTAGTGCTGGACATCGGGGGCTCCGCCTGTGGTCCTGTACCTCCGTCCTGGAGAATTAATACGGGAACTCGGTCAGATGATTAACAATGTTGACAATGATTTTGTTGCTGATTATTCTGCAGGTCCCAGAGGGCCAGCCGTTTCCTGTTTGTACCTATCTCATCGACTAATTACCCCAAATCTGAGGTGATTTGGTAGTCCACGAGGGGCCGACACTGACTCCTAATTCTTACATTTGCATTATTCCTTATAGGCCGTATAGACTTTATTCGCTAGATTTTACGTCTACCACAGCACCCTCTGGGCCCATACATAGTACCCATGATGCCAAGCGGCATATCGTCTGTTCTGAAAGCGAGGACACAAAAATTCCCAACCAAAAATACCAAGCCCACGTGGGGCAGGAGGGAGGTAAAATTAGCAGGTAAGTAGTCCTCCTGGACTACCAAATCACCTCAGATTTGGGGTAGTCCACTTTGGGCCCTCTCTTACCTGCTAATTCTACATTTGCGCAGATTCATGAAAAGGAGGAGGGTATTGGCGAGGATTCCATAGGAACCTCGAATAGCAGTGAAAACAACTGCCTAATGTATTGACCCATCGCGTACCCCAACAGGGACATGAGCTGTTATGCAAGTCGCCGCCAAGAGGTTACAGTCTGGTGTCGTCCCATCACTCCGGCGTCTACCATCGCCGGTCGGATCCACCCCATAATTGTCTTTCTCGTGAGAGTTAAGGGCATCGAAGCTGTGATGAATACACGGCCAATGTGCCCCTCAGTCTGCAAGACATCTTTGAAGTAGCATGAGAGAAAGGTGGAAGTCGTCTCCCTTGCCATTGCTTGCAATATTTCGTGCATGGGAACCCCTTTGAGAAAGGCGCACGACATCGTAGTTGTCCCAGTTTCATGGGCATGCGCAGAGCCAGTTGCTGTTTGAATGGCCCTAACCACCCAACGAGAAATGGTATCCCGGGTGGCTGATATGTGAGGAGATGTTGTTTTAACAACTGGGAAATAACATCTGAGAGTTTTAGTGCGTGCAAGATACAATTTAAGAGCCCGAACAGGGCACCAGAACTTGTCTTCCATAACCGCCGAGACTGTCTTTATCTGCGGGACAAAGATGTTCGGGGGGGGGGGGGGGGAGAGGAAACGAGGCCGACTGGTTTTTGGCTAGGTATTAGTCGGACCCCATGCGGCTTCCACCTGATGTGTCCATCAGCAATTGTAAGTGCATGGAGCTCACTTCGCCTTCTGGCTGTGGCTACAGCTACAAGAACCGTCTTCACAGTCAGGTCCATCCGGGAAGCACCGGCAAGAGGCTCAAATGGATGCTGAGCTAATACTTGCAGGACCTTACCCAGATCCCAAAAGGGCACCAGACGGCGTTGCGGGGGCCGCTCGATAAACATGCCCTGAAGAAGTTGAGATGGGGCATCATTAGTCGACACTGTTGATCCATCCGAAATCCCTTATTACGGATTGTAGCAATTGCCGAACAAAAACCCCTAATAGTTGCCAAGGACATATCTTGCGAACAGAGACCATCAACAAGTCCCCAATTGCAGATAGAGGTGCTGAGCAGGAATCAGCAGCTTCACTTCTGCACGATTTAAGATAATGCTGTATGCTGCATGTCCGATTCGTGGACTGCCACGAATGGGGGGGGGGGGGGGGGGGGGGGGGCAGAGGGGACAAGTTGCCCCCCCCCTAGAGGATTAAAAAAATACACTAAGACTTTTGATTTTGCCACCCCCCCCCCCCTCCCCACATCAAAAGCTGGATATGCCACTCCGTGTCGGCTAACCTCAGTAGAACTGCGCATTCCACCACAGGTTCCCCAGTCGTTCTTTAATGGGAAAGGCTATGCCGCAGGATATATCCAACTCCGACCCCAGAAAGATTCCGACAATTAATGGTTTTGGATGTGACTTTTCTTTGTTGATTAGAAAGCCCAGACTGACTGCAATCCCCCTTGTGGTGTTTACTGCATGCTAGACGTGTTTTACTTTCGGACTCGCCCACAATCAACCAGTCGTCCAGATAAACAAAGATCCGAATTCTCCTTTGTCTGAGGATGGCTGCCACAACCTTCGCCAACCTCGTAAAAACCCCTGCTGCGTTGCAGTTGAAAGTCCGAATGGGGAACGATGAATTCGTAGGTTACTCCCGCAAATAGGAACCGGAGGAACATTGAATGACTGTCCTGGATGAGCACGTGGAGACAGGCGTCCTTTAGGTCTGAGGTCGCAGCCCATGAATGTATTGGTAGGGAATCCAACACTGCGCGGAGTGTTTCCATCCTGAATCGCTTCGGTCGAAAAAACTTGTTGAGTGGGCGAAGATTCAGGATGGGACGCCACTCTCCGGGTTTCTTCTTCGGAGTTAGGAAGAATGTGGAGAAGAACCCTTTGTTGGACTGTCTCCGAAGAACTATCCGTATTGCAGTTTTTTGAAGGCGAGATAAATTTTCTGACTCCAGTGCTTGACGCTTTGTCAGGTCGGAAGGCACTGGCGTGGAACGACGGATCATTTTCCACGGGAGGGTGCTTAATCCGAGAGATACAGAGTCGAGCACCCACGAGGTAGCTATTTTTCCTGCATGATTTTTCCGTCTTTCTTTTGCAGCCCAAGGAGCCTGAGGTGTGACCCCCTATAATCCTCCGTAAATCCGCCACAGACTGTGAAATTGTAAAAACAAAGTCAATCCAGACCGAATTTTACTGGTGAGCTAACTTTCGATACTATCCACTGGGAAAAAGATCGAATAAGAAATACTGAGTTCCTAAACCTCACTGATTGTAAAGATTTTTTAAAACTCAATTTGACGTAATATCTTCAGCCTACTTCGAGTTCAGTGACATTAAATAACAATGTTTACCTTTACATTGTATCGTGAATCGATATACCTACCGGAATTGATGTTGTGGTCCACTTCAGCCAACGACTTGTTAGGGAAAGTCTTCCACCAGATGTCCGGCGTGCCCTCCTCTGTGATATTTGGCAGGCTGGGAGGCATCGGCGCAGGCCAGGCCGTCTCATAGTGGAGGCTGGCGACCTGTCTCCCCGTGTCACCACTCGCTGAGGCGCACGAACCCAGTCCCACCACCCGCACCTCGTAGTTTCCGATGTTCTGGTTTGCGTTCAGCACGAAGTCGTACCGCTCGCCGCCGTTGATCCTGAAGTAGTCGACCGCCTGAGGTTCCAGAGCGGACCCGTCCCCAGTGATAACCAACAATTGGTGACCTGAAGAACACAAACATTTGTCTCAATTTTTGGGCCAGGCATAACCAGCTACATAGCACAATTTAAACGTCTGAATGAAATATAAGTTTATCTCCATGGCAAACAGAAAAACGTCGTCGATAGGCTGTTTTATTCTCCCGGTTTTCGTTGCTAGATTTTACATACGCCGCTAGATCAAGCGACGATGACGTCAATTACGTCACGAATGACGACGATGACGTAATTTTTTGATATATTTTTTTATAGCTCCATGTACGACGTAAGCGAGTTCAGCCGCCAAAAATTTATACGAAAAAAATGAAGATTTTGCTAAACTTACGGTATGCATATAAATGTTGATGTTCAATGTCTTCATCCATCCAACGAAGAAAAGTTGATGTTGACCATCTAGAAATTCCAATATAGCCCTCGAAAATGGTGTGTAACTGTTTTGTCTTATCGCAACTGTAGCAATGTTAGACTGGTCGGCAAGTGCTCCAAAAATAGGCGAAATCTTCATTTCAAAAAGTGACCAACTGAAAACCCGTTTTTCTCAAAACCACTGTTCAACACCCGTGGCCGATTCGTCCCTTCGTGAAAACGCTGACGATTAATATACCGTTTAATATTGGCCAAAGATACATCCAAAAGATGCTTAAATGTAAGGCTTGTCAGACGGTTGCTTGTGGGCATGACGACACCGGTTGTCTGCTATACAGTAGACACAGCCTTTAAGGGAAAGTCGAACACTCACTTTGGACCGAGAATTGCAGATTGCAGAAAAGGTTGGCGCCGTTGATCACCCGAAATCTGTATCTGGTCCCACTCCGCACATTGAACACCTCTATAGGAACGAAGGGAGGAGATCCACTCAACGGAATGCCTTTACCTGTTGGCACAATCGTGTAAACAAACAAACAAACAAAAAATCAACTTCAACAACGTTAAGTTTGAACATTAAAAATCAACTTCAACAACGTAAGTTTGAACATTAATCGTTTCCATGATTCATCACTGAAGTAACCCCAATTTGAAGACAAAAAAGTTTTACTGTTTTTTGTTTGTTTGGTTATTTTGTGCACCTTGATTAATTTAACGCTATTTCTCAGTTTTAGAGTAAAAGTTGATTTAATTGTCTTGGTCAGCCAGTGAAGCATATCGTGAATTGCAGTAGTTCTGCTAAAGTCGCAAGACGGAATCCGATAGTTTCGTCCACAACATTACAAGTATACATTCCCGAACTTCTTTTACTTGACATAATGATAGCATGTACGTATTAGGCCTATTATGACTTTTGTCCCAAATATATAATAATACCAGGGGCGGATTCAGGATTTTCCGAATTGGGGGGCGTGAAATGTACCAAGCAGCAAACAGTGAAGGCAAGTTGTGGCGCCTACGCCGAAGGCCAAGGGGGAGGGGGACATCATGTGATTATGCAATGATAAGCGCGTAGCGCGAAGCCCTTACGGGTGGGGTCTGGTGCCCGCTTTTGGATTCTTATAGATGCTCTGTGGTGCGATCTCAGGTAATATCTGACCACTTTAACCAATTTTTTAACCAAAAGAGCATCATTTAAACATCATTTTCGAGTTTGGAGTCATTGAATCCGCTATCCTGAGCTATAAAATCAAAGGCTACAATAACCATTCGGAGACGAAAAAAGTGGGGGGAACGACATGTCTCTCCCCTCCCCCCTCCCCCCCCCCCCGTCTTCCACCGATTGACGCCCATGCCGGACGCGTGCCCGCCCGCCCGCCCTGCTAGAGGGGTCTGGTACATTTCATGTAATCTAGAGCATATTTTACAGCGTAGGTCTCCTCTCGCTCGTCGCTAAACTCTTTGTTTGTCTCGTCGCGCCCTTCCTCCCCGTCTCGTCGTGCGCGCGCTGTCTCGCTGCCGGCCCATATGTGCGCTCATCTGGGTTTGCCCTAGCCTTTAGTCAAGTCCCACGCGCCTATACCCGGACCATCCGGACACGTAACGCACCCCGGATGCTGGCACGTGAAAAGACTAGCACGAGCGGCGAAGCCGCGAGGGCCTTTACTATCTCGTGGAACTAATCACTTATTCATTTATTCACGTAATATAAATCAAGCAATATAAACCAATCATCTAACGGTGGTTTACGGTTACCAGCAACAGCACCCGCGCCATGGCGCGCGTGCTGTCTGGCGCCAGACGACGGCTGATTTACTTTAGTAATTCTGCATTTTCATTGGTCAATTCACAACGGATAATGCATTATGCATGTCTACCAAATCGGTAGACAAATGTAAAGAAAAACATAAGCGTTTTCCACGAGATGGTAAAGGCCCTCGCGGCTTCGCCGCTCGTGCTAGTCTTTGTACGTGTCAGCATCCGGGTGCGTCACGTGTCCGGGTAAGCGCGTGGGACTTGACTAAAGGCTAGGTTTGCCCACATAGCCCACCTGGGGACCATCTGGGACCCACACAGGATTTTGTAACAAGGGCTGAATATGGGCTGGGTCAACCTCGTCCCCAGGGTGTGGAGCAGTATGCGCCCACCACTACCTGCTCTCTCACCCTGGTATTGGATCATTTGCATGTGCAAGATTTTTGCACACGTATGCAAATGAGGAACAGTCTGGTGCCAAATGAGGAACAGTCTGGTGCCTGGATATGCGTTACACATTAGCGTTTGTTTATGTATGCGGTGTCTGGGGTAAAAACAGAGTCAATTCGTAGCAGCGCGAGCACGGCGTGAGTTACGAAAACACGATTGTTTTAAATCAAACTGTTACGATCTTATCAAGACAACATACAGTATCATATTTCATATTAATATGAGCAAATTGGAAAGGATATTAGTATTTTCGAGAAGGCGTGGACGAATGATCGCGAAAACACGTACTGCACGTTGTGAATAATAGCACCAAGTACACGATAAAAATCCATTACTAGCCAATTGCGGTATCCAATCAGGATACAGGAAGAAAGTTTCCTATCCAGGGTTTACTATTGGAAACGCGGTTGGAAATAAAGTAAGCACTGGGGACGAGGTTGGGGCTGGGTCATTTTGCATATGGGCCCCACATTGGTTAAATGTGGGCAATCACATATGTATGGGCCCCATACAGGCTCCAATATGGGCATGCTCATAATGTGTGTGCCTAGATATTTGGCATTATTATGGGCCCCATTTGGGAATGTTACCTGGGTGGGCGGGTGGGTGGGTGGGTGGGCGGGTTGGTTTACTCAGGATACGCCCCTGAATACAAATTTGCTTACCGTTAATCAAAATGGAATCGACGCCTACGCGAACCTTGCCGATGTTATGCTTCTGGTAGTTGGATACCATGGTATCGTGGTGCCAGTCATTCAGGAATATGACGTCCTCTGCTCTGTCCTCGTCATACAGACCCGCGTTGGGATCAGTTCGTCTTGACTCTCTGATGATGAACGGCCCGGCCACGCCGTCACCGCGCTGCAGACCCGTGTGGGCGTGGTACCAGTTAGTACCGGACTCGAACGGCCTAAACCTGTGGAAGGAGTCATGCACAGGGAGCTTCAAGGCACATAATGATCATTAAATACAAGTAAGTGCAAATTTGGCATGTTTATTTCTGTTTGAAGCAATAACTGAGCACAAAATCCTATTAGTACGCATATATAACAATTGATATGTTAAAGTTTCAGTTCAGGAGATGCTGTACAAGGGGAGTCCGTTATTAGCGTTTCTGATTGACGGAAAAAACTCCAGATGGGCATCCACACACCTGTACTGGAACTTTCCTGGGGAGGGTATGGGGCACTGTGACACCATAGGCAGGCCGTCCATGAACTGGCTGCCGTTCCGCTGGAAGAGGCCGTGCCAGTGGATGGTCACGCCCTCATTGTTGGTCATTTGGTTGTCCACGTTGATCACTACCTCGTCTCCAGTACAAATCTTGAGAAAAGAAATCATTATAAACCGAAGATGCAAAACATGGAATATTACAGACAGATGGACTTGAAGGCAGGAAACAAATACTGAAACTATTTTAAAATAGAGTCTTAACCGATATTTCATGGGTGCATAGGCCTACCTATCGTCCCAATACCTATGTTCCCCAATCCTAACCATCTATCCCTTACCCTAACCATAAGGATTTTGGGAACATAGGTATTGGGGAACATCGGGTAGACCCCGATTTCATTGTATGCCAATAAGAAAAGAGGACCTGTTCTTTTTCATTCGTTGCCAAAATAAGCGTGTTGATGACGATAACAACTCGTCCATTCTGAACAAACGAATGAAACAATCTGATACCGGCAAGAATAAATATTGTCGTTTGCACAAAACGTACCTGGTTTTCTTTGTTTTTCCACAGTATAAAAGCACTCTTTGTACCATACTGACTCACTGTCCAACTTACTGACCGACTGATCATCTTTTGTTGATTAAACTTGCCCACAGGTTTGAAATTGGATTACCCTTAAAGCCGATGAATGGGCCAACAATACAGTCCATTGTGAAGGACATAGGCATGAAAGGACTCCCAGTGAATATACCTTTATCATACTGCCACCATTTCAGTCATGTTCCCTGTATCCAATAACATAACTGAATGATAACTTTTTTCGTGCAAAAAGGAACCAGACTATTTTTCCTTCCAGCCTCGCTTTGGTTACGTTGATTTGAATGGGAAAAAATCAGGATGACTGCAACATGATAATGGTCTAAACCTTTATCATGCTGCCACCATTTCAGTCATGTTCCCTGTATCCAATAACAGCACTGAATGATAGTGTTTTTGTGCAAAAAGGATCGAACCAGACTTTGGTTTCCTTCCTGCCTCGCTTTGGTTACGTTGATCTGAATGGGAAAAATCAAGATTGCCGCAACATGATAATGGTCTATTGCCATTCTGAATCTACTGCGGTTTCAAATCAAACCGAATGCACGATTTCAAAAATATCAGACTCATGTTATTTGATGTCGGTGTAATAATGGTAAACAGGGTGAGTAAAAACAAAACAAAAAAAACCCAAATGGCAGGACCATTTTCTTAATAAAGTTCTGCATTTAGCACTTTCAAAATCTAGGATATGAAAGCCCAATTAATAAGCTTGCTTTTAGTATAAGAATTTTTCAAATCACTTTTTAAGTTACGGAGTTTTAAACACAACCACCATTTTAAAGTTCTGTCCATATATAAAGATCCACGGATCACAAAAACAGGTATGCGTTCTTTCAGCAAAACGAAAAAAAATCACATACGTCCCTATAGGTGAATTGTTTTCGTTTTGCTGAAAGGACACTTACCTTTTTTTATACGTGGACAGAACTTTAAAACGGTGGTTGTGTTTAAAATTCCGTAACTTAAAAAGTACATGAGTGATTTGAATAATTCTTGTACAAAAAGAAAGCTTATTATTTGGGCTTTCATTTCCTAGATTCTAAAAGTGCTACATGCAAAACTTAATTAAAAAAATTGGTCCAGCCATTTGGGTTTCCTTTTTTTTACTCACCCTGTATTTTATTCTTGAGAAGTTCTTTCATACTCCTCTCCTCATAGTTTCCAATACCTGGATACTGGGTCCGGGAAAAGCTTGGTTGACGACACTGATTGCTCGCGGAAACCCGTCCACCGAGACGCAGCCTGGGTTACTGCAGGCCGTCGCGTTGGTGGGACAATCACCGCACTATGGTCAATCAAAATACAGATAGTGTTTGCCCATATCATTGTCCTTATTGATGTAATAGGGTGCACACCTGTAAATAGGCCAAATCCATCCGCCGAGCTCATGAATAAAAGTTATTCCCTCAAAATAGTCTATATTAGAGAGTTCTGAGCGCCGTAAGATTGGGGAATTGAAGAGATATGGTAATGAACCCTGGCCCGGATTTGGGGCTTCCAATTCTGAGCATTTTGAATGCTATTGGGCTCGAAAGTGGCGCTATTTTGCCATGTTGTGGAGGGATCGTTTTTCTAGATGGCTACTTTTCCGCTTTGGGGAAAATAGGGTCGTCTTCTTCGGGTGAGAATATCTCGAAAAGTCAATGGTCAACCCAACAAAAAATGAAAAAGAAAACGAAAGATGACATGTTGATCATCATTTTTTCTGTGCAGCTTGAATAGCTGTGAGAATTCTGAGTATTTTAAAAAGAATTTTGAAGTATGGGCATTTAGCATTTGTGTCTATGGGAATTTATTTGCAGGGTTGCATCCATCAATACCAATTATCGTTATCGTTGTTAACAGCGGTGGCGATTTCTTGGCAGAAATGGACGGGGAAGGGGGGGGGGGGGCAGGGGGCTCTGTATTATGCACATAATAGTTGTATACATGTACATGTAAATATGCACATGAAACCCATTCCGTTTTCAATATAATGTAATTTTTTGTGATAATAATGGCGAACAAGCAATAATTTACAGCTATATAAAACCATTGGGGGGCCGGGGTGAGAAATTATTGGTACATTGTGGTAAAATCTATAGGTACTGGGATTTTTTTTTGTGGGGGGGGGGGGGTTGCATCACCATTGGCGTCCCCTGCCCAACAATTATTGGGAGTGCTCCCCCTCCCCTGGAATCGCTATCCATGGTGGTCAATATCATAGACATGGTAACCCTCATAGTCTTTCTCAGTCAAAAGACAGATAGTTTGCCCCTATCACTGTCCTAATAGTGAAGCCATAAGTACGCAATTGTCGTGGTCACCATTGGCGTCATCGTCGTCATCGTTATCATTGTGGTCGTAGTGTCGTGGTCAGTGTCATGGTCATCCTTGTCGTATATTTCATATCATCGAAAATATCCATTTTAAGGTGTCGTTATCACATTGCCAGTGTTGTCATTCCTGACATGGATGTCATCTTTACCACGTCCGCTGCCGAGCTGTCGTTTCCATAACGTTTCCATTCTATCCCTAGTCAAAGTCTTAACTCGAAGTTACAAATCAGAAAAAAGTGTCACTGTTTTCCACAAAGAAAATTACCTGTGGTGATGACATGGCATAATACCAGGTGACGGTCCAGTTATAAACGCAGGTCATGGGGAAGGACGATTCGCATGATCGATAGCAAGGATTGTCATCGACGACTCGTAATGCATCAACGCCGAGAGCAACTATATAAATAATCGTAATTTGGTGATACTTCTCACTCAACTTTATAATACAACCAAAACAAAACAGTTGTCTACCTTATTGTGCCTATAACCATTAAGCGCTGATACATGTAGTGGTCTACTGCATTGTGCCTAATTATTAAAGCTTTAGTCCATCATTTGAAGCTATACAAAAAGTAACTGACGTAATTATTGTTGAAAAACATATTTGGTTGAAAGATAGTAAGGGGACTAAACTCCATGTGAAATTATTCTTTTGGCAAGCTGTCATTTTGAAGAAATCAACGAAAAGAAGGCCTTTCCAACGGTGCGTCTTAAAACGCTTTTCCAGTGTAATATGAAATTTGGACACCTAAAAATCCAGTGCCTTGGTTGAACGTTCACAATCCGCACGTAGGCATGCGCAATACCACCAGTGATTCAGCATTTTATAGTCCTAGATTCTTAACGCAATGCCCCAGGTGCATCCTGCCACATTCTGCCCGACATCGCGCAGTACGCGCGACGCGCGCGCCAATTTCCATAAAAGGAGTTGTTTACATCTTATTCGCGAGCTGGACACTCCATTTTTTAGCTAGAGAGGTGTTTAAAAAAACATGAAGTGAACTTGTTGAACAAAATCGGGGTTTTTTTGACCGAAAAGCTTTGATTTTTTTGACCGAAAAGGTATTTATGAAAAGGGAAAAACTATTGGTGTATAAACTATAGGTTTTCCCGGACAATTTCGGAAAATGTGTTTACGAATTTGTAAAAGAAGCATTCGTTTTCCTGCGAAATAGAATGAACGTTCCAAATCACTGTTTCTATTTAACAAATGATAATTCTTTTTCCGTGAAGGTGCATTCAGTCGTAAAAAAATCAGCGTACGATTTCCCGAATGTGAACTGCATTGAGTGTATTGACATTTCATTTTAGCGCGAAAACGAAGGCACATCCGCAATCCTGTTTTCCTTTTAATTTATCATCAATCTTTTTCGCTAAATGTGCAGCCGATTTCCCTCGCAGTGTTATTTAACGTATGCCTGGTCAAGCATTGGAAATCATTTATGTGTTAAAGTAACATTTGAAGAATGGTTGATTAAATGATTGAATTTTTGAATATTCAAAAAGTCTCCATGCAGATCCCATGTAACATGACACGTGATGTGTCCCTTTACCGTCTCAATAATATGGCTACAAGATTATTTTGAGTGATTTCATATTGGTCATATTCATATCATTTTCACATTTCATTTGCCTACATTTCACATAGGCCTTTGTGTATATAAGAACAAACACATTAATGATCAATAAGGCATACATTGATTAATTAATGAATCATTAATTAATGAATCAAAGTTGTATCATGTATAGGCCTGTATAATTTATTTAAATTGAATGCAGAAAATGCGAATTTAAATTGTAACAAATGAAAAAGAATGTTAAATTCAGCCTGTGTCACAATAGACAATCGAATTTCTGCGAATTGGATTGCACATTCGTAATAATCGGCAACGCATACATCAAACCGAAAACCTAATCACGTATTTGTAATCCCTTAAATGAAACGTTATGCACATTCATTCATTTGAATGATGCAAAATGAAATCAAATGCTAGTTATTGTGAAAATGAAACCAGGATGTACGTCGTTCTCAAAATCACCGCCAAATTGAATTTATGTTTTACAAATTCAAACGCACATTTTCCGAAATTGTCCAGGAAAACCTATATTTAAGTTATACTTTTCAGAGTATACATATTATGATGAACAAAATGAAGCGAGGGATTGGGGCTGCACCGGCGTGACTGGGGTTAAGCTGCACCAAGTTTTCAAGGGGCACTGAGGGCAATTGCAACTCAAGGTTTCAAATGGAGGGGGAGGGAGGGGGGAGGTAACCGGGAAGACCTCCGCTGGGCGAATACCTCCGCTGGGGGAGGGAGAGGGGGAGGGAGAGGGAGAGTAGGGTCCCCCCTTATGCCACTGCGCGGCCGTTTTACCCGACGGCATGCGCATGCACAGCGATGGCGTATGATTCTTATGTACAGAGTTTGTTGAGGACACTTCTTTGCCATCCTGTACAACAGCCCTGGGCTACAATCAGCAAACAAGAATACAAGTTTTTTGGGGGTCAACCCCAGCTCTTTGTTGGCAATAATAAAGGAGTACGTGCTATGATTGTAAGGTTTGACCGTCTGACGACCTTCATTCGTTCAATGAGGTTCGGTCGAAACAGAAAGTTGTGTTAATACGAAGGCAGCATCATGTATTAGCCCGTCTTTGTTATGGGCCCTTTAAATCCGAATTGACCGAAAAATTTTGATTTTTTTTTTGACCAAAAGGTATTTATGAACGGGAATAAATATGTGCTTGGTCAGTATTAAGCCCTCTGTTTAAGACCGCTTGGAGTCTGGGTGCTGATAATTACCTTCGCCTTCGGCTCGGGTAATTATCAGTACCCAGACTCCAGGTGATTAAAACCTCCCAAGCACACATTTTATTCCCTTATAAAAAAGTTGTTTTAAACGCAAAAACTACGATGGGTTTGTCGATTTAGTATTGGCCGCAAAGGCCCGCAATATTGTTTACGTGAAGCCGAGACCTACAAAACAGATCCAGTAAAGAGGACTTTTTTTCCCTTTGCACAAAATAGTAAACAATATTATGGGACCCAAGCTCAAACATGAATGCATTCAACGTATACGTCACCAATTATCGTAATGCATTCTACACAACTAGCATGATATGATATACCATGGTAGACACGACAATTTTAATATTTACAAGAAACGCCTACTAATTAGAGACCTACGTCCACGGGGTGGCGAAACCGGGAGGCCGGGGGGGGGGGGCCGGTAGGGGGGACCTTGCCCCCAAGATTTACCCAAATGCCCCTGTTGCGGACATAATGTGGCCCGAGCATAATGTGGCCCCTCCAGCATAAATGTGTCCCCTCGAGATGAAAACAAAACAATTCGTAAAATTTGTTTTCAGTAACCATTTCCCAAATCGGGTGTAAAGAGTTCTGATAGCCCCAAAACCCTTACAATAAGCCCTGAAAAAAATGGGCACATAATGCGTAGTTTGAAATAATGGCCTGTTTTGAAGAGTGCCCCCGATTGTGGAAGATGGTATCACCCCCCCCCCCCCCCCCGTTTGAATTGACGGAGGCCAAGTGTCCGGTGAAAAAAACCAAAAAACCCATTTCAGCAGGGATGTGCCCCCAAAAAAATGCTGGATGCGCTGCTGCACCGACGGAACATACCTTTTACAAGTGCCCTTTTTGGGTGACCCCCCCCCCCCCCCCCCCCAGTTAGATATCCGTTCCGCCGCCGCTGCCTACATCTCAAACTCCAGACTTCATCAATGGTCCACTCAGCTCAATTTCACATACCTGTGATCCATCCGATTCCCATCCATGTCACCATCAGTAATAGCGCACCTGCCGCCACAGCATTTACCCGGCCGGCCATCCTGCCAGGCCGCTATATACATCACCTGGTTCCAAAATCAAAGTCTGCCTTTCCGTTTCTTTAGCCCCGTTTGTTGGAGAAAATTCTTTTCTTTTTCTAATGTGTTGTGAAGTTCAACTCATTTCCCCAACGGAGTAAGGTACATACAACTTTGTTATCACTTTATTGTGTGTTGCGTGTATAGCCATAGGCGCAGCGTATAGGTGATAGTTGGTTGACCTGTTCGAGTGGCCTCGAAGGGGGGGGGGGGATCTACGATAGGCACTCTGCCGATAAGCCAGGAAGGGCAACAGGACAATGGTCACAGGCAAAGAGGATTGGGGAATGACAGCGGGATGGACCTTGAGGAGTGTTTTGCCTCTTCTTGTCAACATCAGTAGACATTACAACTTCGCCTACAGTACGATTTGTAAGGTTTTATTTCAGAGTCGTGGAGAGTTCGTAGAAAAGTAAAAGTAAAGATTTTATGCTCTCTCCACTAAAAATCACAAAACAAGCAGCGGCTTGTTATTTCAACAGTTGATGTTACATTTATTTATATAACTTAATGTGACTATTTAAAATTAGTATTCAACCGTCCGCCCGGTCAAAAAATGTAATAAAATGTGTTCATATCAGCTAACAAAATCACAATGTTGTCCGTGACCCCATTAACTCCCATTCTGCTGTTTCACCACAGTTGGATACTCTGCAAAGCGCATGGAACAATTCTTTTTCAGTCTTCTTGCTGAAACTTTCGATTGCTCAGTCCGAGAGACTTTCATTTTGTTTTCCAGAAATTTAACAAGAAAAAAAAACAGAAGAGAACATGCAAGAAGTACGATAGGGGTGTTATCCTAGCATTATCAGTGTCGGAAATTGCCATGGGTGCATGCCCCCTCCCTGAGAATGATTTCATGGGACTCTCCTTTCAAGGATCGTCTTTCTAAGTCCATGCAGTACCTAGCAGGTTTGGACCATTTTAGCAAGATTACACCTGTCTCCCCCACCCCCCCCCCCCCCACCCCCAAAAAGGTGCTCACAGATAAACCGAGTGGTACCGATATTGTGATACACACTCAAGATGACAATCAGGGGCGGATCCAAGATTTTCCGGGGGGGGGGGGTCGTGAAATGTAACAAGCAGCAAACAGCGAAGGCAAGTTGTGGCGCCTACGCTGAAGGCCAAGGGGGGGGGGACATTATGAGATTAAAAGTAATGCGAGCGCGTAGCGCGAAGCCCTATTAAACGGTCTGAATTTTTTCGTTTTGCTGAAAGAACACTTACCTTTTTTGTGATCCTTGGACAGAATGGTGTTTGTGTTAAAACTTCTTGAATTTAAACAGTACACAAGCGATTTGAATGATTCTTGTACTAAAAGAAAGCTCATTAATTGGGCTTTTATGTCCTAGATTTTGAAAGTGCTACAGGCAAAACTTCATTCAAAAATTGGTCTTGCCATTTGGGTTTCTTTCTTTTTTTCACTCACCCTGTATATAGCTGAGCAGACATTGTACTGTGTTGTGTCACAATTTGTAATCGTTGTTACAACCTTCTTTCCACATAATCATTAATTGGGCTTTCATGTCCTAGATTTTGAAAGTGCTACAGGCAAAACTTCATTCAAAAATTGGTCTTGCCATTTGGGTTTCTTTCTTTTTTTCACTCACCCTGTATACAGCTGAGCAGACATTGTACTGTGTTGTGTCACAATTTGTAATCGTTGTTACACATAATCATTAATTGGGCTTTCATGTCCTAGATTTTGAAAGTGATACAGGCAAAACTTCATTCAAAAATTGTTCTTGCCATTTGGGTTTCTTTCTTTTTTTCACTCACCCTGTACACAGCTGAGCAGACATTGTACTGTGTTGTGTCACAATTTTTAATCTTTGTTACAACCTTCTTTCCACATAATTATTTTATCGATAACAACTCAGAATTTCATTATTTATGTGCTTATCATCATATCATGTATATTATATTCCATGTTTTTGTCCATACGAGGTGGGCATTATATCCCAGTCAAATTTAGCAAGGAAAATTTACATTACAGTATTTACATATATGTACTGAGAAAAGAATTGGAATTTTTCAGACCAGTCTCACACGGTATGTGCACATCAAACTCATCATTGGAAAATACCCATATTTCTCGATTTCTTCTATAAATGACAGCAAAGCAGACGGGCTGCTTTCACGGGGTATTTAGTACCAGTACGATCTTTAAACCTTAAACGTTAATTTTGCAATTATGTACATTAAAGTATAGTGTGCGTACGTATCCAATAAAAAAAAATCCTATTTCAGTTTGTAACTTTTCCAGTCAGTCTAAAGGCCTACCGAAAGCAACATGTGGAAAATGTGTCGAAACCGGCAGTATCCGGGGAGGGGGGGGGGGGGGGCAGGGGGGCACCGTGCCGCGAAAATGGCCATAATATGGTCAGTTTTGAAGAGCAACCCCATTTGGAAGATGGGTACCAGCCCCCTCCCCCCCCCCCCCCCCCCCCCGGCGTTTTGATTTTACGGAGGCCAAGTGTCCGAAGAAAAAAAACATGTCTTCATTTCGGCGCAGATGTGCGGTTGCCACCCCCTTTCCTCCCCCGGACATCACAAGCTGGATACGCTACTCATGCTACTGGACACCGGTGCCGGCTGCACGACAACGGTACCACTCTGTGCCGAGTATTCGGCCGTCCCGGGTCCCGGATCCTCTGAGGCGGGCGCGGCGCCACGGCGGCACAAGCAGCCCAGTAGCAGCCCTATCACCACGGCTATCAGGAACGTCACGGGAACGATCCAGGCCAGGTGATAGGTGTTCAGTTTTTGCGGGTCGTCGGCCCGGGGCAGCGGGGGAGGGACCGTGGCTGGGTCGGTAGTTGGTGGGAAGACACCACAGGTCGGGAAGCCCGCTGGGATGGACTGGAAATCCGGAGTGTGGCCCATCCAGAACAAGAGCGCCATACCCTCCTGTTAGAAAACAACAACAAAGGGTGCATAAACCAGTAAACGTAAACAAATGAACTGGAACCGTATTGAACCTGCGACCTCCGGATTGCCGTCCCGGTGCTCTACCAACTGTCGACGTTTTCCAAATTTGTCAATGCCTTTGTTCAAAGGGCGCTTGTCAGAAGTCATGAACATAATGCCATGAGCCAAGAATTACGCTAAAACTAGTTACGCTGCTAGCAATGGATACGGCTTTCTGATACAAATTATCAAATAATCACAACTGGGAACCGACTGGGTATACATAATTTTTCTGAAAGTGGTTTACTCAACAGAATTAAGTCATTGTTACGTGACTAGCGTGTTTTGTGTTGAAATTACCTCGAGATGGAACTCGATGTGACAATGGAAGATCCACCATCCCGGGTTCCAGGCCCGGAACCTGAAGATGGTATAGCCCCCGTCGGGTACCACCACGACGTCTTTGAACGGTCCATTCAGATTACGGGTAATTTCACCTGCGGTAAGACAATATGGGGGAAGAAGTAATACTGCAATTCAGTTTGTTTGTTATTTTCATAATTAGTGGACCAAGATGGTTTAAAGGTAGTTTGGGCCAAAAACAGCATTTTGATTTTGTTCCAGTAATACATGGAGTCCATGCGAGCGCATTCAACCTGCAACGGTGGTAAAGGGCGCACGGGTCCGGGTGCCAAAGTTCCCAAGACTGGATCCGATTCATCTTCTTGACAGTGCCCTCTACCGCCGCGGCTTTCCATAGACCAGCTGGACATCATCATTATAACCAAGGAACATCATCTAAAATCAGTCTTGTGCAAAGACTATTAATGAAGACTTCAGTCTTGAGAAACAAATAATAAAATCACTTGGCGATAAATGCAGGGCACGACATCCGGCCGGCGATCAGACTATTATTATTTTGTCTTTATATACTACGTACCGTTCTGGTCGAGCTGCATGACAGATTGCACGGTGGCGCCAGGCATGCGTTCCATAGCCACCACTTGAAACTGAAGACCATGAAGGTGCATCGGAAGAAGGACATAGGACGAATCCGGATTCACCAGAACGATCTCCACTAACTGTGAGAGAATGTTTTGTCAAACCCTGACTTGAATTTCAGGGTCGGTTATTATACCCCTTCTGTATTTCAGAATGTTGCTTGATCTGACTCTTCACTTTAAAGATATATGTTTCCGATCCGATTCGTTTCTCTCCAAACGATTTGTCATTTGAAAGGTTTTTTTTATATTAAGGCCTAAAGGGAAAAACTTACCAACCCGTCTTAGCTGGTCATCTTGAAGAAAAAATTCTTAAAGGTGCATGATACGCAAGGTGTGTTCAATAATTTATACACTTTTGTTAAAAAATAAATGTATCCAGATATATGAATTTTTTTTGTTTTTGTAAAACTGTGCTGTTTACTTATTATATACAAACCGTGTGATTTGTATCGAAAGAGTGGTACTACTCAAGGTAAGTTTTGTCGTTTGTGTATTTGTTTCATACTAGACTATTTCATTTTACCATTGGCCGACTCGAGCCCTTACCGCGTTAAGTTCAACTTGAATGGTGTGTACGCATGCGCACTGCGTCAGCCCATCGCACTCGCCATTTTGGAAGCTGCTAGCGTTGCAGAACAAGCTCATCGGAAGGTCGTCAAACTGAGACATGATGGGTGAGGTAGGGAAGAAGTAGGAGATGTTGTTGAGCTGGGGGAAAGACTTGGTTCCCTGGTTGGGTATGGGGCTCTCCCTGGTGCCGAAACTCGTCTCGATGTAGTGCTGGGCATCGGGGGTTCCGTCTGTGGCCGTGTAATTTGCTCCTGCAAAATTAATACGTGAATTCCGTCAGATGATTAAGGATGTAAACAATAATTTTTTTTGTCGATTATGTTGCTTTGCAGATCCCGGAGGGCCAGCCCTGTGTCCTGTTTTTATCTCTCTCACCAACTAACGGATTGCCGGACTACCTGACTGACTGACTGTCGCTTGTAACTTAGACTTGACTGGTGAAAGAAGCCGGGCAGTTCTATCGTATATGATCACATCGTTTAACACCAATGAATGCGCTGAACCTGGCCCGTAGTGTAGACCAGGTGATGCATGAAAAGACTTCCAGTGAATATAATTCTGTTTGCTCTGGATTAGGCTGGTCTGAGAGGGCGGCACTGGGCTTGCCCACAGTCAATCGCAAGTCAATAG